CTGGAAAAGAGGCATTCCATCTTGGTCCTCACGGGTGACAACGCATCTGCATTTTGATTCTTTATTGGGGATAGATGTAGATGTCTATGGGCCACAGCAACCATTTACCATCAGGTGGACTGAGTGCTCGTTTGTCACTCTATACTATAAAAAACAATATATATATACCTACTAGTCAGGTCATAAGTATTGTCACACAGTAAAAACTTTTCTTTTAGAATACTGGCTACAAAAAAGTGTATTGAATTCGAATTTCGAATTGTTCATGAAAATAAAACTGTATACTTTTTAGAATTTTACTCATTTTTAAATGTGGAGTGGACGCTTAAAGAAGACCGTGTTGCAGTTATTGCGTTGCATCGTTGCGGTTACGCGCCAATTCAAATTTTTGACATACTGAAAAATTAGAATATAACCAAAAGATTCGTTTATCGTACCATCAGACGATACAATGAAGACTCTAGTGTAGATGACAGATCAAGAAGTGGTCACCCTCGGTCTGTTTGGACTCCAGCAGTGATAAAAGCTGTGAAGGCGCGAATTCAAAGAAATCCCAAACGTAAGCAGAAACTGTTGGCCCTTCAGATGGGGTTAAGCAGAACCACGGTGAAAAGGGTGTTAAAATGAAGACTTAGGGCTTCGGGCATATCGAAGAAAAACAGGACATCGTTTGAATGCCTGGATGGACCTGAGACTGAAGAGATGCCGCGCTTTGTTGAAGCGGTACGCGGGAAAAAAATATCGGGAAATTCTTTTTTCGGATGAAAAAAATTTTACTGTAGAAGAGAGCTACAACAAACAAAATGATAAGGTGTACGCACACAGTAGTGAAGAAGCGAGCAACCGTATTCCGCGTGTCCAACGAGGTCATTTTCCATCCTCGCTCATGGTATGGTTGGGAGTTTCTTATTGGGGCTTAACAGAGGTACATCTTTGTGAGAAAGGTGTAAAAACGAATGCAGTTGTGTATCAAAATACAGTCCTGACGAACCTTGTGGAACCTGTTTCTCATACCATGTTCAATAACAGGCACTGGATTCCAACAAGATTCGGCGCCAGCTCATAGAGCGAAGAGCACACAAGACTGGCTGGCGGCGCGTGAAATCGACTTCATCCGGCACGAAGACTGGCCCTCCTCCAGTCCAGATTTGAATCCGTTAGATTACAAGATATGGCAACACTTGGAGGAAAAGGCGTGCTCAAAGCCTCATCCCAATTTGGAGTCACTCAAGACATCCTTGATTGAGGCAGCCGCCGATATTTACATGGACCTCGTTCGTGCTGCGATAGACGTCTGGCCGCGCAGATTGAAGGCCTGTATTCAAAATCATGGAGGTCATTTTGAATAAACTTTAGTGTCATAAGAATATATGTTTTGTTAAGTTAATTTTGGTATATAAATGGTTACATAATGAATAAACTTGTTTCAATTATTTTATATCAAACATGTGACAGAATTTATGACCTGACTAGGTATATATATATATATATACCTATATATATATAGACTATAGAGAATATATATATATTTATATATATATATATATTTATATATATATATATAAATATAAATATATATATATATATTTATATATATATATATATATATATATATATATATATATATAAATTTATGAGTTGAGACGAGTATCTATCACTAATCACTAACACCCATTACTCATTTGACAATATAATGGAATTATGTTTTTTCTAAAATGTTTAAGTTGATAGTGAATTTGTTTTTGTAACAATGAATAATTCTAGCGCAAATAATTACTTACTATACTATTCATAAGAAAAACGCTACACAAAATACCTACATATTATATGACTAAGGTATACGGTTCTAGAAACTGATAAAATACACGAACTAGAGGTGTGTAACGAAAATTAATCGAAATTGAAAAAGTTTTTATGTTTAATTTCCTCGTAGAATAAATAAGTAGCGGGTATCGTAACCTAAATTACACAAGTGGACTTGTAGCTATTAATTAATTTATTTGACAAATTTTCCGTAAACTAACGTTTCAGAAACTCAAGTGGTTTAGAAGTTTAAATTCTTTACAGTGTTAGAGCAAAAAACATTTCGACGTTACCACGATTAAAGTCAAGAGGTTATGAATATTTGACCAAATTCAAAAACTACTAATTTTGATCACAGTAAAAACATGCGAATATTGTCAGATCAGGAGTTGTCGGCCGAACAGGGCAATAGCGCCAAGTATCCACGAAAACGCGGAGACGCTCGTCCTAATCTACATTCTACATGTGCCCGATGAATACGATAAGATCGGAAGAAGGCTAGGATGCAGTGTTATATGGGGTAATCACAACATAACCAAAACCTGACAATCATTCGCAAAAATCTTTTCTCCAGCTGGGATCGAACCCAGTATTCAAAACACAGAAGCGAGGTACTCTGACCTCTAAATACGTTGACTTATTGTGTAATTATATACGTTACCGAAATATAATTGTAAAAAATTATTGCATACCTCGAACGCGAAGCGGAGAGGTTGGGCTCTACTGTCAATTTTTTAAACTACTCGTTTCACTCACATTAAGTCGTGTTTATTATTTTACATCGCACTAATAAGTTATGTAAATAACATGATTAGAAAGAGGAAACGGTAATGAATAAGCCTGGTGATTTTTTAAATTCAACAACACGTTTCATTTAAAAAATGTACGATAAAGAAATTATTGTGGCCGTTCTTTAGTCTGTGGTTCACAAATTCTCTGTGTACAAGATATCTCGAGAACAACTCAACAAAACTACCAAATTTTTTTTTACTATCTTCAGAATCATGTAGAGTTGGTTCCTTTCGATAATCAATTCTGTAAGCCATTTAAAACATTTGAGGTGTGCACTTTATGATTTTCCAAATTTTTCGTTTATTTGACTCTTCACTGTAACCATGCCACGTAGCGTAGGATGCATACATTAAATTAATATAAATAACAAGAATTAAAGTAATTAAGTTGAGAAATATAAAGTACTTAATTAAAGCAAGTATTTATTAACTGAGAAAGGATAAAAAACGCTACAGTTCGTAGGGTTCTCAACATTACAACCTCCAGTGACAAACTTTTGCTTGTAATACCTGAATATACTATATATACACTAAGAACTACACTTTAAGCTAGTTTTCTCTGTTGCGGCTCTACTGATAGCTCTCACCACACTAGAGAAGGTTAGTTGGCAGAGAATGCCTTTTCGGCATTAAGTTCGCCTTTGTACCAAATAACGTTTTGAGTGAAATAAATAGTTTTGTATTCTATTCTACTATACATCTTTATAACTATGCTAGCGATATAAAGATGTTGCATGGCTCTACCATCTATCTTAGTATTTGGCTTGCACTTTTATTTGACTTTTCTACCGTCAGTCTGGAGATTTTATATGGAAATAAACATATAATGGTTATAGTGCTATCTATCGCAGGCTATTTATGTTTTCTATTCAAATACCCAGGCGTAACCAAAGCCCTAAAACACCTGCGGTATAATTCAACGGGATAATGGTGTTTAGTATCAGCACTACTAAATATTTAATGCAGAATGGTCAATTCACTGTAGTGGTAAAGAACAATGAAGTGATATACGAATATCATTTTGAAAATTTAAAATATAATACGTGATGTAACTACATAAAGAAGTCCATTTAGAAAAAAAAATAATCATTGTATACACCAGTTGTAACGTAGAACGTAGATAAATATATATTTGTAACGAAATAGTTTTCAAAATGAAATGCTGTGATCAATGACTATATTCCTCTACGGCTGTGATACAGTACAACAGACAGACCTGACGAAAGTGACAGTGAATTATAGCGTCACCGGAAGGTTTGCACCCAACAAGGTGTCGTGTCACCCGACAATGCGACTAACAATTTCAGCGTAGCGAGCGGGAATTGATCTCTGGTTGTTAGCGTACTACGAAAACTAAGGCGTACGTTTAACCTCTGACCTAAGACGGTTTTTATGCTGTAAGTGTTAGTGCAAACAAAGTTTTTTCATCAAACATCCGCACCTGATGTAACAATGCAAATGAACACGATCCGTGGGTTCTCCAACGAATCGGTAAGTAAATACTCTGACCGTTGCATAAAAATCATTTTTCCCCTTCCACTATTATTAGGAATTTATTCCGTTACGGAAAAAAAACATCCAACAGCTGTGTTAACGATAGAAACGCGAGAGGAGCCTATAAATTTACCGTACGCTTGCAATCTGTCATTGGTTTTATGTGTGATATACTTATCTTAGTAAAATTAATATTTACGATTTAGAGATGAAAGTAATAAAAAAAATTCTTTGTATTCTTCTATGTATTCTATATTTTTATTACCTCTCTTGTAGCTAGGTAAATGAGTCCTCGTTGTAAATTGCCATATAAATTAAACAATCCGGGTTCGATTCTCACAGGTACTACTAATATTGTTAATTACAATTTGAGTGATAAATTTTCACGTCCATGTCGGGAATGAAAATACCGTTAAGAAACCTGCATACGTAAGGAATTAAATATTTCGAATATATATCAAGTTTTGGCGGACTTGCGTTAGGGCAGCGCGGTGGACTGTCAGTTAAATTCTCTTAGAAATGAGAAGACGCGTGTTTCCAGGTGTGGGATGTATTTAATTAAAACTGTATCTCTATCCACAGGTACACATACCTATTTATTACATTGAATAAATGCCTTCAACTTAATATAGTGTAGATTTAAGGTTTGTAACGAAGTTCACCTACAATAGATAATATATGAGTATCGAGAATTCAAATATCCATTATTAAGTGCTCAAATGTACATATACATTTGAAATTAGTCACGTGGCAGTACATGGTACAACTTATAATGAATAGACGGTAAGCTGACGGCAATACTTTGATGTAGGTAACGTTCAATTTCTTAGCCCGGAAAACTTTATACAGAAAGCAGCTGTTGTCCCATCATGACAGGGAAGTTATAAGCGAGGGAAATCGGTTTCGGAGGACAGTTGTGGTTCATACTGCGTCCGCGTTGTGTCGCTCGCGATTTACTTAGTGATCTCTCTTTACACTTAAATTTGTGATCGTGCGTTATACTGACTGAAAACAATGTCAATACTTTAATGTTTTGTTCCTAGTTATCTATTGTTACTATTTTTTTTTAGTTTTGTACGATACAGTGGTTGCGTGCAATCATGCACCTAATATCGACTTTCGCGTTTGCTTTTTTGCAAGGTATGTGTAACAATTTTAGCGCCCCGTCTACTCTTATAATTATTAGTTTATAAGCCTATTGTTTATAACCTCTATTACATTATTCGTTTAAAATATTTCACTATTTACAAATCACTTTTGATATTTTGCCTTTTCGATACAGTTAAACGTTTCGTTTAATTTGTGCTTTCGATGTTACATAGAAATTTTAAGATATTATAATCCTCACATCAATTAAAAGTTCAATTACCTATGTCAAATTATAACGTATCGATGGGTTGTCGACCGACATAATTTTAAGTTATTTATTACAATGTCTTTATATTATATTAATTTGAAATAAGATCATAATATCATGTTTTTAGTTTGACTACTTGCCGGTGACATTTGTTCAAATTCTAAATTTATTATCCCTATATAACAAAGCTTAATGTAGAGACAATCTGGTAACGGATACAGGAAGTCGATGGCAGCATGTTGCTCAGGACCGTGCGTTGTGGCGTTCCTTGGGAGAAGCCCATGTTCAGCAACTTGTGGACTTGTGATGGACTGTAATGATGATGATGATAATGATATAACAAAGCGTTAACTATTCATGAACATTAATTCATAATTTAATAAATATTTTTTATAGAATAGGGTGACAAACGAGCACACAGTTCACCTGATGGTAAGTGGATGCTGTGGCCCATAGACTTTTACATTTATCCTCAATTAAGAATCAAAATGCAGATGCGTTGTCACCTCTGAGGACTAAGATGGAATGCCTCATTACTAGTAAAAAAGGTCTCCGGTTCTCTACATTGACCATACGAAACATTAAAGTAGTATTAAGCTACTATTTTACGCGGGTATTCTGTGAGAGCGTGGTCCTACCTCGGTCGAGTCAACCCATTGATGCTGCAACCATAATATAGCTGCAGCATGGCTCTATCACGTATGAAATTAATTATTGGTACAGACCAAAGGAGTAAAATAAGCAGTTTAAAGGGTCAGGGAAGTGAAGACAAATTTAGTATTCTATTATGCTCCTTCCCTCCCTGTATGCTTTATAAAATTTTATTATTCTAGAAATGTAGCTATTTTTATTTATATGGACTTTTATATCGCATAAGTATCTGCTACCTATATTTATTACAACATATTTTTTTCACTTTTCAATTTCAATAGCTGTACACGCGTATATTTAGTGCGATTGGTTAAATTTATCTCTTCTACAAATATTTTCTATAGCAAATATATTGGAAATCGTTATTATTACTTCAGTGCTGTTTCGTCTACAGAGATAATTTTCTCTAAAACTATTTCATGTAATAATAGAAAATTGAGCACATATATTATAGTGTGATGGCTATGGTATACAAAGTTGAATTTTGAATTCTGAAGGCAAGAAAAAATATTTCAACAGTAACAATATACGATATAATAATAAATATAGATTACATTTGTTTACGTAACATAATATACAATATTTTATTGTATACAATACTAGCTGTTCCCCGCGACTTCGCTCTTCTTAGGGTTTACTAATACTTTTTCTAAAATAAAAGTACCTAAGTTACTCCTTATGAAATCAGCTATCTGGCAGTGAAAGTCCCGTCAAAATCGGTCCAGCCAATTCGGAGATTACCCGGAACAAACAGACAGATAGACAGACAGACAGACAAAAATTTTAAAAATTGTATTTTGGTTATAGGTACCGTATTTACTTTTATATGCATTTAGTAAAAAACTTTAATTTTGACATTACAAACAGACACTTCAATTTTATTTATTTGTATAGATTAAAAACTATAATAAAAAAAAACTAAAACTTAGTAACTTAATTATCATACAGTCCTACTCCCCGCGGTATCGTGCCAAGAAAGCTGGTTGCGTTTCCCTGCTGAATGGCTATACTTAGCGTTTGAGCGAGAAAAGAACCAGCCCTCTTATCACCAGCAGCAATGATCAGTCGCGAATGGAGTTCCTTTAGGAACTTCTCCGCACGTGGACCCCACGGACCGATAGTGTCTATAGCAAATGGCACAAATATGTAGTCATCTCTCAGAGACACTTACTCAGTTCAGCTGCTTGTGATGCCGCCCCGGCTCTAAACGAGGTACCCCTGAGATGAGATAATAAAGTATATTTATTACATTAATAGTTATAATTTCTACCATCAAACAGCAGTGCTGTACTGCTGTGTTACAGTCCATAGAGTATAGAGTCAGTATTATTTACAGGCTGTGAAGCATTTACGTGGTAGAGACATGCTGCAGCTAAATTAGAAGTAGGTATAGTTGTAGCACGAATGGCTCGGCTCGACCGGGGAAGAACCACGCTCTCACAGAATACCAACGTAAAATAGCAGCTTAACGCTGCTGTGTTTCGTATGGTGAGTGTAGAGAACCGGAGACCCTTTTTACTGGAAACGAGACATTCCATCTTAGTCCTCACGGGTGACGATGCATCTGCATTTTGATTTGTAATCGAGGATAGATGTAGATATCTATGGGCCGCAGCAACCACTTACCATCAGGTGTACTGTGTGCTCGTTTGTCACCCTTATCTTATAAAAAAAATTCTATCGTAGTCCTCAGAGGTGACAATGCATCTACAGCCTTCTTTATTTGAAGTTGGTTGCAGGTGACAACGGACTACAGTCGCCACTTACGATCAGGTAGACTGTAAGTGCGTTTGTCACTTCAGTTTTGTATAAAACTAGCTGTGCCCCGCGACTTCGCCCTTGTGGAATTTACCCTAATTTTGTTTTTGAGTAATGTTACCATCGTATAAATATTGAAAAATATTGACATTAATATTTATATGATACTAACGTCACTCAATTGTTTTGCCTTCCCGGAACCCCTCCACTAACACTTAAACTTTATGGTATGGTATTAAAGTTCAAATTGACTTTTAAGTATTATTATGAATCTTTTGTATGGGAATATAGAAAAGTGTTGTTTTTAGACTTTTTCAGGCAATTTTTTAAATTTTTCTCCGTAAGAACCATCTTCGTACTTCAAGGAATATTATAAAATAAGAATTAGCGAAATCGGTTCGGCTGCTCTCAAGATTTGCGCTTAGCAACACATTCAGCGATTCATTTTTATATTATAGATAATAAGTATGCTATTAAGCGTCGAAAGAAATTGGCATGAAGAAGATACATAATTTTTTGTAAACCAGTAGAATCAGACAACTCAAAATGTGGAGATATATTGAAATTTGGAATTTCAAATATCAAACTGATCATAATATTATCAAAGGACAAGTTGTTTTCGGTCACACATTTTTATAATAACAATACAAAGAAAAGGTTACGTTATTAGTTATTATATTTTTTGGTTAGTACAATTAGATAAGCCATTAAAAATCATGAAATCCAATAAATGCATAAACTGACTTTGGATGTTTTCATAATTATTTGTATTGTTATTTTATTATTATTATATATATTATTCATTGGGTAAGATAAAATATACAAAACAGAATGATGTCTTGAACCAGTTCGCCCACTCACGATTGTACGTTTATGAAAAGGTGAAAGGATGCATTGTTCGCGCTCGTATAAGTAGGCACGACTTATTTCTTCTAAACAGTAGTGACATTGTTGTGTTGCGATTTGAATAGCATGTTAAATTAAAGTACAAAAGTACAGATACAGTCATTTTTTTATAGGATAAGGGTGACAAACGAGCACACAGTCCACCTGATGGTAAGTGGTTGCTGTAGCCCATAGACATCTACATCTATCCTCGATTACGAATCAAAATGCAGATACGTTGTCAGTCGTGAGGAATAAGATGAAATGACTCGTTTCCAGTAAAAAGGGTCTCAAGTTCTCTACACTCACCATACGAAACACGGCAACGTTAAGCTGCTATTTTAGGCTGGTATTCTGTGTGAGCGTGGTGATTATGTCTTCTCCTTCATATTTTTCACCAGTCCAAGTCCACAGCCGGCTCTTGACTTTTCCTGTTGTAATAAGGATTTTCTCGAATGGCCCTGCTTGCAGTCCAAGTACAGCCCACTGATGAACATACGTTTCTTATTGATACTTTGCTCACCTGGTCAATTTGCGCCAGCGTAAATTGAAGTGTAGAATTATTTCCTATAATGCCAAATAAAAATGTTCACCCAAACATAGAGGCAATCACTTCAATTATACCATTTGTAAACTGTGTAACGCTTAGGTAAATCGTAAGTAGATTAGGATAGAATTTAAAAAAAATAAGTGAAAAAATCGAAATTACAGTCTATGTGATGCTTAGTGACTGCTGCGGTCCTTGGTCACCTGCAGCCATGTTCAAACAAAGAAAGTACAGATGCGTTATCACCTCTGAGGACAAAGATGGAATTCCTCACAGCCTGTTATTATATTAGCTCTCTATTACTCTCCGGACCGGAACACTGCATTGCAAGCACTGCCTTTTTGCGGTAGCAATAGGCAAGAGAGTGGCATGCTTCCTAGGTGGACTTATAGACATGACTGTGCGTTTTACTAGCAGTTTCCTTCCTCGTGCAAATTCTTTGTGGAATTGTTTACCACCGGCAATTTTTCCGGACCGATACGACTTAGGGACTTTCAAGAAAAAAACTTACACCTTTCTAAAAGGCCGGCAACACATCTGCCACTCCCCTGGTGTTGTGGTTGTTCAAGGGCGGCGGTAGTCACTTACCATCAGGTGAGCCACATGCTCGTTTGCCCGCTCTTCTATAAAAAAAGTCCTACCACCAAGTACGGTCACGACAGAAATGGTCCCGGAAACTAATGATCTGTTTTGTCATTGCACAAAAATATGTTGCTTGCGACTGGGATTCAAATCTAGGATTTGCAGTGTAGTCGCTAGGTCTACCGGTGTCGAAACCCGCTATGTGACAACACAGGAGCAGTGACATTGCCGAATGTAAAATGGCGTGAGCAAAATATATAATGAGTGTTCTTTACATTAGCTCCGATCCCTGGTAGAGGCTAGTGCAATGAATTTCAAACTAGCGTTATTGTAAGTAGTAAAGTGGCACTCAAGAACTAG